AAAAAATAATAACATATATTATTCCCAATGGTGTACTTCAGGATAGCTTTAATATGTTAGTGGCCCAGGATGAGGATGGCAGAGGCACAAGTAGGAATTCTCTCAGAAGTCAGGTTTTCATGTAGAGCATTGTCTCAAATATCTGGGCTGTCAAAATATATCTTCCCTTCTACTTGAAGAGAACTCAGAGGTAAGAAAGCACTGGAGCACATGAAAATACTAAAGATACAAATTGCACACTGTGTGCTAATTGGGTCCTGTTGGAGGTAGAAGAAAAGTGCGTTTTCATTAGTTAGTTTATACATCATTAGGTAGTAGCGAAGCTTCTCCAAAACCAGCACTGAGGAATGTAGAAGAAGCTGTGAGGAATGGAGAAAGAGGAGGCAAAAAATGAGGAGTCAAAGAAATGAGAACAAAAGAGAAGGGGGGAGCAATAGATACTGGCGGGAGGTGATGGGGATCATCAGAAAGGACTTTGGGAGAGGAGAAAAGCTGCAATTTTTGTCACCTCCTAACATCTCTGAGTTAAATGTTTGTCTCATTTAATTCTTAGAACTTACATTCACTATATAAAATAGGAAAGAATGAGGATACAGGTGTGTTAGATCCAGAATTTGATCTAACAGTGCTTGGCATAGTGAGTATTCAATAAATGTTAGTTGTCTCCTCCTCTAAGGAATATTATTTTCTTTGCTTTAGCAATTAATCTTTTATACTTAATGAGAAATTCTTTCATAACCAAGGTAAAGATGCTGTTGAAATCCTTGAAATAACTGTTTTTTTTGAAGAAAGTTGTTTCTAAAAGTCTACCTTTTCAAAATCATTTGTGCACTTTCATCTATTCATTTGGTTGGAGTGTCATCCCATGTCAGTCAGTAACAATGCATCCTGTTCTCCATGCTTTCTATAGTGGATTTCCAACACAGCACAGTAACAGGTTCATAATGATAATTAAGTCTTTAAGAAAAGCTCATGTTACATTTAGGTCTTTGTGAACTAATGATAAGTGGTGTAGGAAAATGCTCATTTAAAATGAAACCACTTAAAATGCAGATCAGTATTTCATACTGAATTGTGACTAAAAGATCTGATTGGGACTTTATCTTGAAAAGTAAAAATTTTGGATAAGCGTTAGCTTATAGTTATAAACATGCATTAATTTTATAACGAACGAATGAATCAAGTGTGGATAGGCTTCTTCTCACAAAATAATTTAGTAGCATAATATAGCAGTGGTGCTGACATTAAGAGGATTTTTGTTTTTTTGCAAAAATATCCATAAAAATATAAATTGTTTTTCCCAAGAACATCTGTTAATCCTTTGATAGTCAAATTCTTTCTCTACAAACAATAGGCTTGTTTACCAATCACTATAAAAGTGATAAATTCCTGAAGGTCTGTTCTTCATAACTACAAACCCACTACAGGAGTACCATCCATTTGGGCCATAGTGCATCACTCCCATGGGTTTTCCAGGCAAAGAGAATGCAAATCTGATCTAATGCTGCTTGCTGTGCCATGAGTAATAAAGTCCTTTGTCTCTGACCCAGGAGTCTCATGTACTTTGTCAGTATCTGTGAAACTAACTTATTTGCATAGAGTAGTAGGGTAAAATTAAATCCCACGCCCTACATTTTTGCTATCCTTTTAATAAACTTTGTGAAATGTTATAGTTTTTGCAAATTTGCAGTTTTACTCATGGTTTATGGTGAGGGAGATGCTAGTGAATACGAACTAATTTTATAGGTGATCTGCTCACTAGGAAATTTTTAAAAGTTTTTTTATATTGAAGTATATCTTGTAATAAAGTATATAAATCTTACGTGTATAACTCAGTGAACTTTTACATATGCGTACATTTATGTTGTCACCCAAATCAAGATACAGAAAATTTATAGCTCCCCAGAAGAGTCTCTCTCTTCATATTAAACATTGGTTAGTTTTTCCTCTTTTTGAATGTTATATAGATGGAATGATACAATGTTTAATATTTTGTATCTGAATTCTTCAGTATTATATCTATGAGATCCATCATGTCTTTTAGGAATGGAATAGTTTGGTCCTAGGAATTTATGTTTAATATCAATAAATATTGTCAAACAATTTTCCAAAGTAGTTGGGTAAATTTATATCCTTCCATATTTAAAGAGTTGAGTGTAAGATTTGTCCCTACTGTTTTCGTAGTGCTAGTTTTTTATTTTTAAAAAAATTAATTTTAGAGAAAAAGGAAGGGAGAGGGAGAGAAAAACATCCATCTGTTGATCAAACCCACAACCTGGTTATGTACCCTACTGGGAATTGAACAGTAGGCCTTTTGGTGCATGGGATGACGCTCCAACCAACTGAGGCACACTGGCCAGGACCCTAGTACTAGTTTTAAGAAAGCACAAATCTTAGAGTCTTAGGTTTTAAAATCTGACACTCCTTATTCTTTCTGAAGCCAATCTCTTGAAGTCTAACTAATGACATCACCATTCACCATTCACGAAGTCATTGGCCTTTAATTTGTTCACATTCTTTTTAAATTCTCTCTTGTGTTAATCTTCCACAGTATCTTTGTATGTAGTTCTAAAATCTTCCTCATAGTGATACTTTATCAGTAACTCTTTCTCCTCTTTTCTACCAGTGAATATTCCCTAATATTTGGGTTTTTACCTGCTGCTCTTTTCATTCTGTTGAAAACCTACATTTTCTTTACTGTTTCAGCTCTTTGTACAAAATCTTAAATCTGTTTCTCATCTTTTCTTTGCTAAACCTATATCTTCAGTCATGTCCCTTTTCCCAATAGAGTTAACCATCTTCTCTGCTGACTAAACCACTTTCTTAGTATTCTTAATTCTGTTAATAGAATTGTCATTATCTTAGTCACCTGGACTTAAAATTTGAAGATATCTTTTTAATTGCAAGGTACAGTTGATAGAAAAATCAATGGCCATTCATTATATACTCCCTTAGTATGTGGTATGGCACATGGCATAATGCCAGGTGCTGAAGACTTCTTCCTGGGAAGATTTTGTATTCCATTTGGGAAGTTAAGATATGTTTTTATCATTTCAGATATTATTTATTAATTATAATAAGTATAATAAATGGCCATAGCCTCTTTAGGGTAGAGTAGTAAAGGAATTCTTTACAAAAGGGGATGGATTTGAGCTTATCATTAAGGATGACTAAGATTTCTCTTGAAAGACACAGATGAGCAGAGGTGCAGAGATTGGGGTTGGATCAGAAAGTGTGTGTAGTACAGTGGTAGGTATGTTAGCCTGAGATAAGATCTAACCAATCTTTGAAATCTTCACTCTTCCTCCTTTGAATACTAACGATCATAATTCACATTTGAATAGCACTTTTCAGTTTATAAAGTATCTATTACTGATACCTTTTTTCCAACATTACTTCTGCTACTTCACTGGTTGCTCATTGTCTGTCGTTGGCTGTGTAGTCACCACAGGGGATTGTACCCACTCTTATCAGTGGAGTGCCACTGCACATCATTTCTTCTTGTCATTAACTCCAAGAGCTTCTTAATGGTGCAGGATAGTGGTCTGCCTGGAGCAGGTTCATTAAGTTAATGTGCTTAAAATATCACAGAAGACAGTAGGAATTATAAAATTATAAACTGTCCTTTTCTCGGTTAAACTTTGAATTATCTTTAAATTTATTCAGTACTAGAGGCCTGGTGCACAAAATTTGTGCACAGGTAAGGTCCGTAGGCCTGGCTAGCAATCAGGGCCGATCTGTGGGGTGACTGGTGGGGCAATCAGGGACCCCTGCTGGCACCTGCCTTGGCTGGCCTGGTGCTACCTGCTCGATGGCCCTGCTGCCGTGGTCACTGCCAGTTGCCTCCCTCTGTGGGGCAACCAGCAGGGCGAATGGGGGCCCCTGCTGGCACCTGCCTTGGCTGGCCTGGGGCCTGTGGGCTAGGGGCAGCTCCTGCGTTGAACGTCTGCCCCCTGGTGGTCAGTGCATGTCATAGCAACCAGTCATTCCTGCGGATCGGGCTGAAACTGGCTCTCCGACATCCCCTGAGGGGTCATGGATTGACAGAGGGTGCAGGCCAGGCTGAGGGACCCCACCGATGCACAATCGGGGCCGGAAAGGGACGCAGGAGGTTGGCCAGCTGGGGAGGGACTGCGGGAGGGCTCCAGAGCGTGTCCAGCCCATCTCGCACCATCCCGATTGTCTGGACCCCAGCAGCAAGCTAACCTACTGGTCGGGGCATCTGCGCCCTGGTGGTCAGTGCATGTCATAGTGACCAGTTGAGCGGCCTTAGCATATTATTAGCATATTATGCTTTGATTGGTTGAACGGCCAACTGGTTGACTGGACACTTAGCATATTAGGCTTTTATTATATAGAATTCTTAGTTCTAAAAATAGATACTTTCCATTTTTTTGGCAATTATGTGTGTTAGGATTTGAGGGCTTGGTACATTTTATCTTATGACAACTGTTACTATAATTTGCATTTAATAATGTGACTTGAATAAGACCATGGCTTTTGCCCAAACCTTATAAGTCTGTGAAACATTTTAAAGAGAATAATGACCTTAGGGAAGAGCTAGATTTTCTTAAGACTTTGTTCGGATCAGGACATATCATGTTCAGAATTGACATAGCTTGTAACATGCGTTTCAAAGAAGAAAAGTACTTCAGAATCAAACCTTAGCAGGCCATTTGGGGGCTTATTAGCCTGAAACTAAAAGAATCAAAATCTAGAGGCTATTTCTTTTTAATGATACATAGAAAATAGAGCAACCTGGTTTTGCTATTGGTTATCATTTGGCATTGCCTGTGAATTATTTGTTCATGTTAAGAAGAAGGAATTGAGTGGTCACAGGACTTTAGAGAAAATTTTTCTTTCTAGACTTAGATTTTTTTGTTTTACTTTTCTGCTCTGACTTAAAAATAACATACTTTTCAGTTATATTGATTTTTAATGTATATTAATTGCATTCATTTAAATTAGGGATCTTATCCATTTCCCCCTTTCTCTTTCAGGACTTGAACCAGTGAAAAAAGCTTATGGCACTTATGAAGATAAATGTCACTCTTCCCTTTTAAATTGGAGCTTCTGCTTAGGACCTGTGTATAACTTGTCCATCTGTGATCTGTTCACTCAGTAGCCATTGACTTTGAGTTGCAAGAAGGTCTCTGAAGATTTATATCAAATGACGTCAATGGCCAGCTTGTTTTCTTTTACTAGTCCAGCAGTAAAGCGATTGTTGGGCTGGAAGCAAGGTGATGAAGAGGAGAAATGGGCAGAAAAGGCAGTCGATGCTTTGGTGAAAAAGCTAAAAAAGAAAAAGGGTGCCATGGAGGAACTGGAGAAAGCCTTGAGCAGTCCAGGACAGCCAAGCAAATGTGTCACTATTCCCAGATCTTTAGACGGACGCCTTCAGGTTTCTCACAGAAAAGGCTTACCCCACGTTATATATTGTCGTGTTTGGCGCTGGCCTGATTTGCAGAGTCATCATGAGCTAAAACCATTGGATATTTGTGAATTTCCTTTTGGATCTAAGCAAAAAGAAGTTTGTATCAACCCATACCACTATAAGAGAGTGGAGAGTCCAGGTAGGTTTTACCCCTTGAGAAGAATGAAAAAGACCTCTCTCTTCCTAATTTACATTTAACTGGATTTAGTAATTAAAAGGTGATATTAGCCTTGTATTTTCCTTCTTACAGATTTTAATCTTGGAAGGAATATTGGATTTTGAATTCAGCTTTTTGTATATAGATAATATAGCTCCCAAGTGGCTTATTCTAATTCATTGTTAAGGAGTCAGTTATATGTAACTCTACCGTTCCAGTGAATGACCTGTCTCTATTTTATTTAGGGCCTAAGCTCCATGTACGTACTATACCCACTCCTTTTTGTCTATTTAAGAACTTTGTTCTTATAGTTGTCACACCTTCCCCCAGCTTTATATTTTTCCTCTCTACTAGACTATTTGTGAGAGCATATAAGCATGTCATAATACTGCCCATCCTAAAATGAAAGTTAAAAAAGAATTCCTGTTTTGACCTCAGTTACACCTCCTACTCACACACAATCTTATGCACTATGTCCTCTAGTTCTGTTAGAGGAGTCTCCATTTTTATTATCTTCACATTACTTTCTTGACACCACTCCAGTTAGCCTTTCTTCTCTACCATTTGACTTGTCAAGATCACCAGTGACTGCCTTCTTACAGGTAAATGGGTCATTCTCAGTCCTCATCTTATTTGCCCTCCCAACATCATTTGATACTGTTGCTCTCCTTCCCTCTCACTCAAAACCTTTTCTTTATTGGCTTCTTAAACACTAGTTTCCTATTTGTGCTTAGTCTCTTTGTTAGTTTATTTTCCTATTTTTATAGGACTCAGTCTCTGGACAGTTTGTCCATCTATATCTTCCTTCTTAGAGCTCTCATGCTGTCACATGTCTTAAAAACATCTATAAGCTCATGCTAACATTTAGAACTCCAAAGTCAGCTTTTCTTTTGAGATTTAGATTCTTATATCCAGCTGCCTACTTGATATCTCCACTTGAATATTTAATAAATATATCATATTTAATGTCTAAATAGGACTTTTGATTTTCCCCCCACCAAATCATTTATTTCTCCAGCTTTCCTTATTGAAGTAAATGGCACCAGTATTCATGTAATTGCTACCTAGAAGTCATCTTTTATTTTTCTCTCTTAAGTCCTGTATTTGAGCTATGAGCAAATGCTGTTTGCTATATCTTTAGAATATATTTTGATAGTATCATCTCTCACCATCTCTAATACTGCTGTTCCAATATAGAATATCATCTTTTACCTTCAGTAGTCTTGTAATTGATCTCTCTGCCTCTTTTTGTCCCTCTGCAACCCATTCTGTTTTCTACATAGCAGCCAGAGTAATAGTTAAAAAAAAAAATCAAATCATGCCAGTCTGTGCTCAAAATACTTTAACGGCTCTCTATCACACTTAAAACAGATTTCTATAAGACCCTACATTGACCTGTCAAACTTCCTTTATTCTTTGGACTTGCCATATTCCTGCATCTAGGCTTTGTTCTTACAGTATTCTTCTCCCGGGATCTTTTCATGGCACATTTTCTCACTCCATTCTGTCCTTACTCAAATAACCCCATCATTACTTGACACTATGTTAGACATTTATTTTGTTTATTGACTGACATGAGCAGGACCTTCCTCTGCCTCATTCTGCATTGCATCCCCAGTGCCTAGAATAGTGTTATTACCTGACACTTTATAGATTGTGCTTAGTAAGTATTTTTTTGTAATGAATGAATTACATAAGCTGAGGTACTAGCTGGGCGCATTAGTTATCTGCTGCTACATAATAAATTACCAAAAGCTAAGTGGCTTAACACACATTTATTATCTCACAGTTTCTGTGGGTCAGGATTCCAAGCACAGCTTAACTGGGTCCTTTGTAGTGCTGTAATCAAAAGTGTTGGTCAGGGCTTAGATCTCATCTGAGGCTCAGTTGGGGAAGGATCTGCTTGCCAGCTCATGTGATTGCTGACAGGATTCAGTTCCTTGCAGGCTGTTGGACTCTTGCTAGTTGTCAGCTGGAGGCCACCTTCCTTTGTTTGCCACATGACCTCTTCATATGTAGCTCACATTCATGACAGCTTATTTCTTCAAAGCCAGTAGGCAAGAGGATCTTTTTGCTGGAAGGGTATTATATTCTTATGGGATTTTATTATATACATCCTATCACTTTTGCCGTATTCTGTTGGTTAGAAGCAAATCACAGGCAATGATCTCAAAGGGAGGGGATTATGCAAGAATGGTGCACAGAAATGGGAATCATGGTGGTCACCTTGGAGTCTCTGTGCCACACTGGGTTTCACATGGATAAAATATAAGCCCAGTATGGCAAAAAGGCTATGAAAATAACATTGGATATGTAGACTAGCAAAAAGAATAGCAATGATGGTCCTGTCAGGGAAAGTTTAGTTTAAGAGCTTTAGATCTACCAATTGATATTTGAGGTGATTCTCAATTTCTCATTGAACCTAAGAAATCTGTAGCCTGAAGGAATTAACAAAGAAAGGATGATGTGAGGATTTAATGGAGAAGTGTAGTTTGAAAAACTTCCTAGCTTGATATTTTCTAGGAGTTGATGGAATAAAGTACAGGAATTTAGTGTATTCCCCCATAGCTAGGGTGTGATTTGTACCCCCCAATAGAAATGTTTTATTATTATAATCAATTTTTCTCAGACATGATTCATTTTATAGAAAAGACTGAGGCATAGCTCTGGTATGCTTAAGCAAGTTAATCAAGAATCTATGGTACAGGATGGATCACTTGATGGTACTAGTATTAATAAAGCGGTAGAAGTAGTAACTAATAGTTATGAACATTTTTTTTTAAAATATATTTTTTATTGATTTTTTACAGAGAGGAAGGGAGAGGGATAGAGAGTTAGAAACATCGATGAGAGAGAAACATCGATCAGCTGCCTTCTGCATGCCCCCCACTGGGGATGTGCCCGCAACCAAGGTACATGCCCTTGACCGGAATCGAACCCGGGACCCTTGAGTCCGCAGGCCGACGCTCTATCCACTGAGCCAAACCGGTTCTGGCAGTTATGAACATTTTATTGAGCACTTATGAACTGAGTATTTTTCTGATACTATGAGATTATTTCTTCATAGGGTTAGAAAATGGTACTAACATTTAAAAACTTAATAAATTTACAGGTAAGGAAACTAAGGAAAGTAACTTATGTAAGGTCACATTGCTACTGTATAGTGAAGCCAGAAAGTATTACAAAAATTAAAAAGATGGAAAAGAATAGAAGGCCACCTCAAGTGGATCAGAGTTTAATCTAATAGGCAGTGTTGTCTAGTGGTAAGACTGGGTCCTAGAACCAGATTTTCTGGGTTTGAATCCTGGTTTTATCAATATACTAGTGTGTCCACAGGCAAGTTACTTAACCATTCTGTAACTTAGTTTCTTCATCTGTAAAATGGGAATAATAATTCCTACCCTATAGCTTTGCTAGGAGGATTAGATAAGTTAATGCATGGAAAGTGCTTAGATTAAAACACTAACTGGTTCAGGATGAGTTCAAGTTAAATATCATCATAATAAAATAATAACCCTGGAAATAGAGTATAGGGGAATATAACAGAGAGAAAGTTATCAAAAAAATACTATTAGAACAGTTTTCAGAACTGAAAATTGGAAGGGCCCAGTGACTGAACAACCAGAAGAGGGAATAAAAACAGACCCACACATGACATTTTAGTATATCATGGATAAAAAGAACATTAAAAGCTCCCAGAGAGAAAATACAGGATACAAAGGGCTGGAAATGAGATTCTTGTATTTCTCACTGCAATTCTGGATTCTAGAAGAAAATGAAGCATTGCTCCCAAAATTACGAGAGAAAAAGTTTTCTATTCTGAAATCTGCAGACAAACAAAAGGCAAGATTTATTGTATATGCAAGGACTCAAAATTTACACACTGTTTCTTAGGAAGTTAATTGAGGAACATGGGGTCCCGGATATGATATCCAACAGGAGAGAAGAGAATGGAAGTCCAAGGATTTCAGATTTGTAAGAAACTTAAGTAGCAACTAGTCTAGATTTTAGCAAAAGGATGGAGGATTCAGGGGGAAAAATTGAATCAGTGGATTTTTTTTTTTATTTTGTGACAGCTGGAAAATATGTTGATAGGAATTTGATCTCTTGGACTTCTGGAAATATTAGTGGTAAATATGATTAAGCAAATGAAGGAACAAAGCTGTAGATAAAGCACTTTTCATGAAAAAATGTGATCATAGGACATACTTAGCTCAACAATGAATGACCTTTATATATAATGTAAACAATGGATATTAATTTAATCAAAAACTTTTAGTATACCGTATTTGCCGGCGTATAAGACGATTTTTTGGCCCTGAAAAATATGCCTCCAAGTGGGGGGTCGTCTTATACGCCAGGTACACTTCAGATAGACTGCCCATAGTGCTTGCCCCGTGCCATAGTGGCCTCCCGATGCCCGCCCACTTCATTCCACATACCGTTCAGGCATCAGCAGCACTGCTGGGTGTATGCTCGGCTGTTATGCGATTTTGCTGTTATGCGATTTTACCACACTTTCAAAATCGCACACAGCCGACCATACACCCAGTATGATAGCGCAAAATCGCGAATCGCGATACCATACTGGGTGTATGGTTGGCTGTGTGCGATTTTGCGAGTGTGGTAAATTCGGGTTACCGTATATTTCTTTACATATGCATTGAAGATTCGCGATTTTGCGCTATCATGGTGCCTGTTAGAATGTTGAAGAGCTCGCACTTGCGCACTAGTGAGGTCCCAGGGAGATGCTGATGCAAGGGTGGACCAGACTGCTATAGTGACAGGGCGGGCAAACAGGGAGCAGGGACCAATCAAATCAGGCTTTGTATACAGCCAACAGCCAACCACAATACTGCCCCATTGTACAGTACAGCATAGAAAACGTCGACCAGTCAAACCCCTATCATCCCTATCATGGCACCAAGATGTCGTTGATGAACTTTTAATATCAGAGAAAACTGTCACTGTTTTATTTATATGTCTGATTACATACAGCCTTGTGACATTTTTCATGCATGTCATAAGCATTTGAATATAAATTAAAATGTTAAAATCAAATCTGATATTGTTTTACTTTTTATTTGGTGTGTGGAAGGTATGCGGAAGAGGGGGTAGTCTTATACGGTGAGTATATAACAAACTCTGTATTTTGAGTGGAAATGTTAGGGGGTCGTCTTATACGCCCAGTCGTCTTATACGCCGGCAAATACGGTAACTTTATTGTGGAGAAGGGGAATGAGAGTGGATAGAATGATATAAGAAAGCTGCTTCATTTGTCATAACAGCAAGTATACAAATAATGTATTGAGATCAATAATAATAATATAAATATATTAGTTAGCAGTACATAAAGTTTTAGAATAAAATGGCTAAGAGTTTGTTTTGTTTTTTTTTGTCTTTGGAAGCAGTATGGGAGGAGGTCTAGAAGTTGCTCTTTTTATTATCATCTTTTGTATCTTTTTAAACTATTCATGTACTCTTTTATATGAAAATAAAATAATTACTAAAAAATGTGTATAGATATACAAGTAAGAGAAAAGTTAGTGAGCTCTGCCTTAAAAATAAAAGTGAAGCAATCCTTACTGGATTGGATACTTAAGTAGTTATTTTACTAAATCCTTCAGATTGCTAGCTAGCTAAACATAGACATTTTTGCTATCTAATGCCCTCCCTACTCTCCATGGCAGCTAGCTGTCCCATCATTCTGTAGTGGGACAAAAGTTGGTAATACACAGTAGAATAAAATAATTTTAAACAGATGTTAACCACATAATTACAACACTAGTTCAGTAAAATAAAGAGACACCCCCCGCCCCCTAAAACCCAGCAGTACAAATAAGAGCCTCTGATTCATCAGTCGATGCTTCTGTGGTTGGTACAGACTTTACCTTGCTTAGGTTGGGGGGAAAGTATGATCTAGTAAACTTAAAAACAGATTGATTTTATTGCTGAAGAATGATGTCAGAGTCAAAGAGATTTTCAGAAGTAAAATTACATTGACAAATATAGGAAAGTTGTAAAAGACATGAATTGGTACAATAAGTTTAAAGAATCTAGGTTTGTTTCTGTTTCCTATAGTGCAGCAGTTCTCAACCTGTGGATTGTGAACAATGAAAATACATCCTGCATATCAGATATTTACATTACGATTCATAACAGTAGCAAAATTAAGTTATGAAGTAGCAACGAAACTATTTTATGGTTGGGGGTCACCACAACATGAAGAACTGTATTAAAGGGTCGCGGCATTAGGAAGGTTGAGAACCACTGCTAGTGAAAGGTAATAAGATATTTGAAAGTGCTTGATCACTTGTATCTTTAGAGAAAGTGAATGTTTGAATAAAGTTTATCTTTCTAAAAAAAAATTTTTTTTGTTGTTAATCCTCACCCGAGAGCATTTTAACATTGATTTTTGGGGAGAGTGAAAGAGAGAGGGAAAGACAGAGAGAAACAGCAATGTGAGAGAAACACATTGACTGGTTGCCTCCAGGTTGGAGAGGAATCTGCAACTGAGGTACGTGCCCTTGACCGTAATTGAACCCAGGACCCTTTGGTCTGCAGGCCGATGCGACACTGTGTCCACTGAGCCAAACCAGCTAAGGCTAAAGTTTATGTTTTAAAAAAATCTGTCTCTTAAAACGTTTAGACTTTGTTGTATATATTTTCATTATGGTCATATTTAGAAATCTGACTTTGAAGGAAGACTTCTACGTAAGAAAAGTTATTATTTGAGTAGGGAAAACTTTACCGAAGAACATAAAATGTGAGATCTCTCAAACTAAGAAACATGAACTGGCCCTAGCCAGTTTGGCTCAGTGGATAGAGCGTGGGCCTGTGGACTGAAGGGTCCCAGGTTTGATTCCGGTCAAGGGCACATGTCCCGGCTGCAGGTTCGATCCCCCAGTAGGGGGCATGCAGGAGGCAGCCAGTCATTGATGTTTCTATTTCTCTCCCTCTCCCTTCCTCTCTGAAATGAATAAAAAAGAAACAAGAAACATGAAATGTTAAAAATTGGAAACATGGAGGCTTTCAGGACATCTCTATAGCTAACCTCAATCAACTTCAATCTCTCAGTCTTGTCTTGCTTCCTGGTTCAGTGGCTAGGCCAACTATTTTATCCTTTCTTATTTCCCTCCTGGACTCTCCCCATCTCCTCCTTCATTCTCCCCACCCTTAGCACTCCCATGTGAAATCTTCCTAGTTCTTTAAGGGCCAATCAGATATTGTATTTTCTACAATATTTTGTTTGCTTCATTGCCAGCTAGAAGTACTCACCTTTGTTGAACTCTCATTGCATTAAATTTTTTGTAATATGGTTGTTTTAAAATATGCCTTATCTCCTATAGAACAGGAGTGGTATCTTTTCTGGGTTTCCTGTCTCCCAGAGTACTTTATACATGCTAAATGCTTACAGGGTTTGGGGTTTAATTATTATACAAATAGATTCAAGGTTCTACAAAGCAGTACTTCCTATAAGTGAATTGTTTAATAGGTTTACAGTTTTCCCTGAATCCTTTCTATGTACCCCTTAATGTGCATGAGATATTTGCTTTAGTCATTGCTGATAGATAACTTTTGATTTTGTCTTTCAGTCTTACCTCCAGTATTAGTGCCTCGTCATAATGAATTCAATCCACAACACAGCCTTTTGGTTCAGTTTAGAAACCTGAGCCACAATGAACCGCACATGCCACAAAATGCAACTTTTCCAGATTCCTTCCATCAGCCCAACAACACTCCTTTCCCCTTATCTCCAAATAGCCCCTATCCCCCTTCCCCTGCTAGCAGCACGTATCCCAATTCCCCAGCAAGTTCTGGACCAGGAAGTCCATTTCAGCTCCCAGGTAAGAATTTATTTCATTGATAAACCCTCCCCTACTTTCCCTCTGAGGATTGATAGTCTGATCACTGTTTCTCTGTCTTTGGATCTGTCCCTGTTCATTATTTTTTTTCACAAAAAAAATAATCCCTGAGGATCAACAATTATTATACTTCTGACTCTCTGGATGAACTGTTCTTTGTCAAGATCTAGCTACTTTTGACTATATTCTTTGGTAATTGTTTGATTTACAGAAGAGTTTTAGATTTTATTTTGCCAAATATCATGTTTACATATTTTCATATACTTTATAATACTAAGTCCCGTTTATTGAGTGCCTTTTATATAACTGATGCTGTGATAAAAGACATTACATTAAATTTAATCTTCAGAACAGCATGTGAGGTGATATTATTTCTGTTTAACAGATGGAAAAATAAATTGATACTAACTCCAAGAGTTTGAGTACCTTGCCTCAGGTCCCACAGCTAATAAATGGTAGGGGTTCAGACCCAAGTTTCTTTGACTTGGAATGTTTGTGCTTTTTAAACTTTACTATTTTTTTTGTCAAATCATTTTATACTTTGGAAGGTTAAATTGAATTCCAGTTATCTTTAATTAGATGACTGGTTAACTGATTTACTTGGAGAAAGGTAAGTAGATTATAATTTATCCAGTTTCTAACTTTTGGTAATGTCATGTACAAACACATGTCACTCTGTGAAATATTTGAATGCCTAGTGCATGTGGAGTCATATGTAAGCATATTCTTTTTTAAAAGAGGAATTAAGTATCAACCCTTTAACTTGCTGTTATGTACTATTTGCAAAAGCTAATTTTCATACTTTGTCCTAGATTCAGTTGTGTTTTTTTTAAATTTCTTTATTGGTTAAGGTATTACAAATGTGCCCTCATCCCCCCATTAACACCCCCCAGTTTATGTTGTTCATTATATTCCACAAATGAGTGAGATCATGTGATATTTATTTTTCTCTGACTGGCTTATTTCACTTAGCATAATTCTCTCCAGTTCCATCCATGCTGTTGCAAATGGCAAGAGTTCCTTCTTTTTTACTGCAGTGTAGTATTCCATTGTGTAGATGTACCACAGTTTTTTCATCCACTCATCTGCTGATGGGCACTTAGGCTGTTTCTAAATCTTACCTATGGTAAATTGTGCTGCTATGAACATAGGAGTGCATATATCCTTTGATTGGTATTTCTCTAGATTCAGTTTTGATTGTATCTTTATCTCAAAATATTTCTTGTACAAACCTTGGGGTGAAAGAAAAATTACATCAGTATTTATAGTTTCTGAGACAAAGAATTATAGCTGTAGCTTTGCAAAGAATTTCAGACATGAGTGTTGGAACTCAAAAGACTTTCTAGTAACATTCAGTTTCCTGAGAGAATTACCTAGCCATTAAAAAGGGTACAACAGCCATTTTAGGACATTGGACAATTGCTCTTAGTATTGATGGCAAATTTTGAAGCAGCATAGCTTTTTCCCCAGTTTTGAAAACAGTTTACAGTATGTGATGAGTTTAATAATTTAAAAGTGTCTATAGATACATACCCTTACTAGGATAATCATCTCCTTCAGATTGATTTCCAGTGGTTGCAGTTTCTTGGAGCATATTATTCGAAGCAAATAAAGGCAAAGTTCTTGACCTTGAATTCTATGTTAGTGAATTTTAGCACTGATCTTACTATCCTGGATTGTCCCAAATATATGTGGACTTACAGTAGGTAGGTTTTCGGTAGCTAATGGTTGTGTCTTTTTGCCTTTTCCCTTGCCCTAAGATAGCATCTGCATTTTTGTGTGTCTGTGATACTTATTAATGAACCCTGCTGGTAAATTTATGAATTTTTAAATGCTTTTAGAATAACTTTGAGCAGGATGAAGACTTTAACTATTCTTTGGGGACTTTAACTTGTCTCATTTTTTTCCTCTCAGCTGATACCCCTCCTCCTGCCTATATGCCACCAGATGATCAGATGGGTCAAGATAATTCCCAGCCTATGGATACAAGCAATAATATGATTCCTCAGATTATGCCCAGTATATCCAGCAGAGGTATATTTGTTTTGCTGTTCTTACTCTTTTGTTTGTTTGTTTGCTTCTTTTTAACTTCTTGGCCACTTTTTAGAAACACCTTTCTTGAAGTATAATTTATATACCATAAAATTTACCCATTTTAAGTACATGATTCAACAATTTTTATAAGTGTATAAAGTTTTACACCATTACCACAATGTAGTTTAGAGCATTGCCATATCCCTTCAAAAATATCCATGGACCTGTTTTGTAGTCTATTCCCACTCGCAGATCCATCTTCACAGACCTTTTTTTTTCTTTCATTTTTTTCAATAATAACTTCCCCCCCCCCCAGCCATTCCTATTCCTGAGGGCAAGTCCCCACCACCCCAGTGTCTATGTCCATTGGTTATGCTAATATGCATGCATACAAGTCCTTTGGTTGTTCTCTAATCCCCCCTCCCCTGTCATTCGTCTTTTCAGAGACCTTTTAATCTGTTTTCTATGTCTATAGATTTGCCTTTTCTAAGCATTTCATATAAATAGAATAACATATTGTATATTCTGTTGCACCTGGCTTCTTTCACTTAGTATCATGTTTTTAAGGTTCATCCATGTTGTTGCATGTATCAGTAATTCTTTTTTATTGAACAAGTATTTCATTATGCGGATGTACCACATTTTTTTTTATCCATTCACTAGGTGATGGACATATGAATTGTTTCCAGTTTTTGGTTAGTGTAAACAATGCTGTTATGAACATTAGCATATAAGTCTTTGTGTGGACACTCTTTTTCTTTTTCTTGGGTAGATGCCAAAAGTGGAATTTCTGAGTCATACGGTAAATTAACTATTTAAGAAAAACTGCCAAGTTTCTCTAAACAGGCAGGACCATGAAGGTTCCAGTTTCTCCACATACTCTTAACACTTGTTATTTTTTTTATTATAGCCATTCTAGTGGGTGTAAAGTGTTATCTAACTGTGGTTTAATTTGCATTTCCCTAATGAATAATGTTGTTGAACATTTTTATGTACTTATTAACCATTCATGTAGCTTCTTTGGTGAAATGTTTATTCAAATCTTTTGCCCATTTAAAAATTGCATTGTTTGTCTTATTATTGAATTGTAATTGTTCTTTATACCTCTGGACAGAAGTCCTTTATCAGATAAATAATTTGCAAATATTTTCTCAGTCTGTGGATTGTCTTTTTATTTTCTTATGGTTACCTTTTGAAGCACAAAGTTTTTAGTTTTGATGAGTCCAGTTTAACAGGTTTTTTTTTCTTTTCTGGTGTTGCACCTGAGAAATTTTTTCTAAGCTAGAAGTTCTATAGCTTAGCTCTTACATTTAAATGTCTGATTCCTATTGAGTTAAGCTTTTTGTATGGTAAAGGTCTAGACTCATCTTTGTGCATGTAGATATCCAGTTGGTTCTAGCACTCAGTGTTTATTGAAAACACTGAATGCTTTGGTATTTTTTCAGTAATCAGTTGATCGTAAGAGTTAGCATTGACCTGACTGGTGAAGATTAAAAAAAAAATAAATAGATCAAAAGAACAGAAGAGAGAACCCAGAAATGGACCCACATAAATATAATTAACTGATCTTTGACAAAGGAGCAAGGGCAATAATGGAGAAAAGCTCATCTTTTTAACAAATGATATAAGAACAACTAGCATTCATATGTAAAAAAAATTAATCTAGAGACAGACTTTACACCCGTCACCAAAATCATCTCAAAAGGAATCACAGACCTCAATGTAAAATACAAAACTATAAAAATTCTATGAACGAACATAGGAGAAAATGTAGGTCTGAATAAGGTAATGCATTTTTAAATACAATATCAAGGCATGATCCATGAAAGAAATGAGACCCTGGCTGGTTCGTTCAGTGGTTAGAGCAGCCGTGGGCAAACTACGGCCCGCGGGCCGGATCCGGCCTGTTTGAAATGAATAAAACTATTGAAAAAAAAGACCGTACCCTTTTATGTAATGATGTTTACTTTGAATTTATATTAGTTCACACAAACACTCCATCCATGCTTTTGTTCCGGCCCTCCGGTCCAGTTTAAGAACCCATTGTGGCCCTCGAGTCAAAAAGTTTGCCCACCCCTGGGTTAGAGCATTGGCCCTCAGACCAAAGGGTCTTGGCTTCAATTCCTGGTCAAGGACATGTACCTCAGTTGCAGGTTCAATCCCAGGCCTCGGGTTAGGGTGAGCACGGGAGGCAAACAGTTGGTGTTTCTTTCTCTCTCTCTCCCTCACTCTCTCTCTCTCCCCGCCCCCCCCTCCCTCCCACTTCCTCCCACTGCCTCTAAAAATCAATGGAAAAAAATGTCCTCACTCCTTGGGTGAGGATAAAAAAAAAAGAAGTAATCAATAAGCTGGACTTCAATAAAAATTAAAAACTTCCTATATACAAAAGACACTGTAAAGGCAATGAGAAGACAAGCCACAGACTGGGAGAAAATATTTGCAAAAGACATATCTGATAAAGAACTGTTATCCAAAATATACAAAGAACTCTAAAACTCAAGAAAATGAACAACCCAATTAAACAAAATGGGTCAAGGACATAACAGACACCTCACCGAAGATAAACACATGGTAAATAAATATATAAAAAGATGCTCCATATCTATGCCATTTCTTTAAAAAGTTCTGTTTTTATGTGTGTTATATGTGTTTGTGATCATATAAAAAGACTGTATGTCACATTATGTTTTTCTAGGCGCTCCATGTTTCTAAAAGAGTTGAATTTCAGGCTCCGCATAGTATTATTAATATCTGAATAATGTCTGCTTTTTCAAGGTTTAGAATTTACCAAGGAATTTGGTCATACTAACTTGCTTGTAATTTATAGAATCTGCTTTCAGTTAGAGCAAAATGTCTTAGATCATGAATTTTTGGATTTGAATTCCTACATCTCTACTTATTTGCTTTGCAAGTTAGGGTAACTTTTTTAAATTTCTAAACCTACGTTTCTCCATTTGTAAATAGAATATTTACAAAGGGATTATTAGCATATTGATTGAATTAGACAATATTTGTAATGAACTTAGCATGTAGCATCAGGTAGTAAATGGTATTACCTTCCTTCTGAGAATATGGACAATATTTATCCCAACAATCATTTTCCTTTTGTTCTTTCTCCTGGTTCTCCAGAAACCAGACAGTGCCATTTGATAGTATTTTATGTTAGGTGTTCCTTGGAGTACAGTTTGTCTAAGCCAAACAACTGAATCACTTTAGAGCAGCGGTTCTCAACCTGTGGGTCGCAACCCCTTTGGGGGTCGAATGATCCTTTCACAGAAGTCGCCTAAGACCATCGGAAAACACGTACATAATTACATATTGTTTTTGTGATTAGTCACTATGCTTTAATTATGTTCAATTTGTAACAATGAAAATACATCCTGCATTTCAGATATTTACATTACGATTCATAACAGTAGCAAAATTACAGTTATGAAGTAGCAACGAAAATAATTTTATGGTTGGGGGTCACCACAACATGAGGAACTGTATTAAAGGGTTGCGGCATTAGGAAGGTTGAGAACCACTGCTTTAGAGGAATTGGCATGGAAGTCTTCTCACTCTTATCGATGTCTTTTTTCACCAACTTTCTTCCCCTTTCAGTCATATTTTGTGTTTTTTCTTTGACAGAGAGGTAACAAAAGGAAAATCAAAGTTAAACTGCAATGCTTTGAGTCATCAGATAACAATATATCCTTTGCCTTGAGCAGAGGCAAAGTTTTTCTTTTTCTTCTCATCCTAACTAAAATTGTCTTTTCAGTTTTGCTTAG